CGTACAAGCTGAAAGTGAGTGGCGTTCTCCACGACCAGGTGCGGCGCTGCAAAAAGCGTGTCAAGGTCAAAGGCAAATGGGTGTGGAAAATGCCTACTTATGTGAAGATTGCCACCCATAAGGACCCAAAGACTGGTCGCCAATTCAAGACCAAAGGCGGTACCCAGATCATTGATCGTGCCTGGCGCTTTCTTAAAGATCGGATTCAATTGAATCAACATTGCCGGGTAGGGAGTCCTCTTTTGCGGTTGAAAATCCGCAGTGCACAGTATGAGTACTGGCACAGAAATTCTGATCTGTGGACTGCCTCTGGTACCTTGTGCACTTGGCACTTTGCCAAATGAATTTTGTCTGCCTGCAAGGAAAAAATGCATCTGCAAAATACGTCTGATAAATGTGTCTGCAACATTCTTGTTGTCATATCATAACATCTGTCTCTGGCGCATCACAAAATCATACGGAGTAACACCAGGACTCAAAAACATAGGTCTTTTTTGGGGGGGGGCTAGCATAAATATTATATATATAGATACATAATATATAAGTCCTTTCTGTTTGAAGATGAGAAGGGAAGAGACTGGGGCACTCCCACTGCCACTCGCTGGTGACTGCCCCAGGTGCTTGTGGAGGAAGAAGTGGACCCTCGCTTTGTAGATGGTCCTTTGAAGGTGAATCTCCGAACTGGATGTTGATTTGAGAACATGCGGGCTTCTAGTGGTTTAAACATGTTTAAACAATATTCATGATGCTTATGCTTGTTTCTAAAGGAATTTTTGTGTTGTTTTGTGTTGGACTGTTGGACCAGTGGTAACAGCTAGGCAGAGAACTGAGGACAGATCGGAAAGGCTGACCGCCCATGAAGGCTGTTGCTTCTTGGTGCCGTTGCACTGGTAGCATAGCATAGCACTGCATAGCTGTCTATGAGTCATCTTACTATGAGTGCTTACTTCTGCGTGTTTACTTCAATTGCCTTCCGGCTCTTCTTACTTTTGTGAGTTCGGGTCGCAACTTGCAAGATCGTGCATCCCAACAAAATTCAAGAACAGGGTAGATGCGATGAACCATTGGACCATTCCAGGCCAATAGGCCAGCCTGTTCATGTTTTGCTCACAGAGGAACACTTACGGTAGGACTTCAAATAGCATACGTTGTGAAACATGGTGAAACCAATATGGTTTTTGCCATTGCGAGATTCTGTGGAGATCCCAAGGGAGCCTCAACCGGAATCTGGGGCAAAGACATGCGAAGCCTCTACTGTAATCTTTTCAGCGCCCAACACCCGTAGGTCCTTGCAAAACAACAACAATTATATATGCTTACTGTAATATGTCTGAATTGAACAAGTGCAAAGACACCTGGCAACCATCACCAGCAAACATGACGTAGCCATCGATTGCCCTGTCAGGGTGCTGCACCCTTGATGCTGAGTGAGGTCACCAAGGCTGAGGCGAGCGCATCTTGAGAGACTTTGTGGAAGGGCCACGGTGCCAAATAGAAAGGTATCCCTGATGGCGGATGCTGTGATAGTTACTGCGAAACTTTGCGTGGCCTTCTTTGGCTTAACTGAGGGGCCGGGCCTGGTTTCAAGAAGAGGGGTCTATCTTTCTCTGTTTGCCTTAGCCGAGGAACGAGACAGAGGCACAAGAGATTTTCAAAGGATTGTAGCAGATCACGTGGTTCAAGAGCGCAACGGGCAAGGATTTCTGAGGTCCAAGCTGGGAACATATGTCGCCTTTGCACCCACTCCCTGGTTCAATCAAAGAACTTCACCTACGGCACCGGCCAATACAGTTGGATTCAGTCTTTTGGCTTAGATAAACCATGATAAACCTTTCAGAGGTTTTGGAGTAAGGAGTGGCAAGGGATTCCCCCCCAAAAGAGCCATCCCAAACAAGCACGGGCGAGATTTTTGGTTCAGCTTTCTCTGGGTGTGCTTGCAATGTAGCAATTTTGTTTGTTGTTTTCCTAGGGTTGGGGATGCCAATGCCAATCCAATCCAGCTTGTATGTCCATGTCACAACACCCTGGTCTTTTGATGCGGAGAAGGTGGAGCGCGCTGCACGCCTTACTCCAGACGCCACGACGGTCCAAGAGATCGAGGAAACGTGGGAAGTGAGCTGGAGGAGTTGGGATGCGTCAAGATCATGTAAAACTCCTAATAGCTTCTTGTTACTACTAGTAAGGCACTTGTTACTAGTAGCGATGCACTTGTTCCTAGTAGCTTCCATAATACATGTAAAATCATGTAAAACAGTGCCCCAAGATCAAACAATTCGGTTGTCAACAAATCTGTTTATGAGAGGTCTCAGCAAAGTTGGGTGAGTTTGAAGCACCATGCTGTTGAACTTTGGTTTCCGAAGTATTCCGAACTTATATACAGAAATTAAACTCTTAGACTCTTTAGATCCTTTTTTGCCTTGGGGAAACCCGACAGTTGAAATCAAAAAGATATACAGTACTCAACGATGGGTGTATCCACGTAGTTCCCATTTCAGGGTCAAGTTTTTGAGTTTGAGGACAGGCTAAGCTTCTGACCCAATGTAGTCTGGGTGTTTGCACGTGGCCTGCCTGTGGGAACATGTAATGACCATTGACCTCATCTCACGTTCTTGCAATAAGCGAGCAGCGATGTCAGTATGTGACTCTGGCGACCTGAAACCTGCTGCTCTCGACTTATTGTTCCCTCCAGGCAGCACGAACCTCCTTTCAAGCATGCATATAGGCTAGGGCTAGGGGTGGAACACTGATGTACGGAGCAATATTGAACAAGTCAGGCTAAACAACCTGACGATCCTGAGCAGCTAGTGGGGCCCAGCCTCATTGTAGGACATTGCTATGCAGGCTCCGGCTCACTGCCTCTTTTGTCATGGAGCCCTTTGAGGATCGTTCTCGCTTTCCGTGCAAACGAGCAAGCAAATTTAGAGAAGCTCATGAAAGCAAACACTTGGATCTTCCGAACTTGAGCCTGAGCCTATCTATCCCAAGAGGTCGCTCCAAGACTTTGTCGATATCTTCTAAGTCCAGCATTGGTGAGTTGAAGGCTGCTGTCCGAGAGTCCTTCAACAGCCCTTTCTTGCAGTTGATCTCGGGCAGTGACCAGCTGTCCGATGCAACAACGTCTTCAAAGAAGTGGGGCTTTGCCATGGAGACACGTTAACCGCCATTGTCCAAATGCCAATGCTAGTTGCATCAGCCAGTGCGTTTGCACTTATGACTCGTACGATCTCGTACGTGGGAAAATCTCTGGTGTGGCGGTGACAGCAGGAACGTGCGAGATCGCCTGAGGAATGCTAGGCAGATCAAGGCATCTTCTGCTAAAGGTGGCTGAATTGTCCAAGACATGAGTTCACACAACTTTTGCAAGATCATTCGATGGAAGATTTGGAACAGTTCTTTTCCCGTGTCAATGTTGACTTTATGTGTAAGCGTATGGATTGTGACACCACTTTTTGTCACGTCGATCTCCTGTAGGTGCTGTACCATGCTGTAACCCCTTGAATTGCTATCAGCATCTATCAGCACACCAAGTCCTTTGCTGCAAATCAATGCTCATCCCCATGGCGATGTCGCCACCAGGCTGCCTGCACCTTAGTGAGATGATCCACGAAAGCCGCATCTGCTGGGCCAGAGGCCCTCCCAAACCTAGCGGAAAAGGGAAGGTCCCCCTTCGTGAAAATGCCTGCAACGCCACTAGCCTCACAAAGGAGCAATCCTGCAAGGTGGGGTCATACAAAGCCACGGAGCTGCCACTTGTGCTGATGGATGTCTTGTGACTTGGGGTGGTCCTGACTTTGGAGGAGACAGCCGCCAGGTTGAAGACCTCACCAGCCAGCTTTGATCAACGATCTCCTGTAGATTGCCGAGTGTTACTGTAAAGGGAGAGTCAAGCATCTATCTTCCAGCATGACTGACTGCTGTAACTTGTTCCGGTACTGGCACATGTGCAGGAGAATCGTGCCCAAATCGTTGCTTAGATAGGCCACACACGCAAGGAAACTCACACCAATTTGGACGAAGGAACACAGTCATCAGTGCCAGCGACAGTGCCAGCGAAGGATCCATCATAGTTTTTGTGCTAGTTTCGCTGTGAAGCCGCAGTTGCCATTGATGCTGTCGCCACGTATTCATACAAAACTATGCAGGGATTCTTGTTCCAGGAGGAATGCTGCAGCACGAAGAACCATTTTTGAACCAACGCTGATCAACCTGAAACAAAGACTCTTCAGCCTATTGATGGCAGCCCACACCTTCCCGAGTGCTGGCCTATCCTACCAACACCAACATGCAACCTAACGGGATCAGTAAGCATCTCCAAACCACCGGAGAACCCAAACAGCAGAAGACGACCTCCTGAACTGTTGGTCTTGACAACACCAGGCGGCGGGCTGGCGTGCGCAGTGGTCGGGCGCTGTGTTGATGGGCGTTGGATTGATCTTCACAGTGGGAGAGAATGCTGGGAGGCCCAGGGTCTAAACATCCCTTCCTGGGCTTGGAATGGTTTGTCAGACAGCACGCCATAGTGCAACAGTTCCTTTGCCTTCCTCGTTTCGCAATGTTGATCACAAAGTATTCAAACAGCAGATTGCTGAGGAACATCCATCCTTTTCCCTCCGAGCACACGGTCAAAAGGGGTTTCTTTGATTGACAGGAGACACCATGGCCATCCTCAACAGCCGATTGCTAGTAGGTTGGAGGCTTGAAAAGACTTGTTCACGGAAAGGCCTCTTGCCGACTCTTGCCTCTAAGGCCAGAGACGCAGATGGCGTGGCAAAGTGGAACCGGATCAAACTCCCGGGCACTTGATGGCACATGATGGCGGTCGCACGGACCGGTTGTGCTTCGGTGAGTGCAGCTTGGGCAAAGAAATGGGGAGGAACCTTGACATGTCTCGATTGGAACCACATGATTTTTAAAACCTAATCTACAGGTGCAGTTCAATTTTTAGCAGCCTACTAGTATCATTTCAACTTCTCATGCATACATATTAATCAAGACGACGCCCCTGAAGTGTATGGAGAGAGATCGACCTGTTTTATTGTGGTCAGCCAGAAGCACAAGACAACACGACTGCCCGCGGCTTGACCTTTGTGGGTTGGCAGCCAGTTCGTGCAACACTAGAAAAAGAACGGCAGACAATGAGTATGGAAGGGAGGTGGATCATTACTAAGATATTTTTGCGTAGGTTGAATTTTTGTCAATAGCATGTTGTAAAGTTCTGCAACAAAGGACACTTGGCAACAGCTTAGTGACGATATAGCACTCTAACAATCGAACGTAGATTAATTTGAGTTGCAGGTGCAAAGCCTGACATTGATTGGTTTGGGAACACTAGTCACAAACTATATAGCTGGTACCAGGATACGATTTGGGAGGAGATTGGTGTCACACCGAAATAGACTGGCTAAACTTACAGTAATAAGTTCCGTTTCAAGTTTCAGGCAGCGGCACTCGCTTGGGGCTCAGTCGACTACTGATAGTGCCTTTGATACTTCCTACTTCCATTCAACTCGAACAGGAAACGACCACCCATCAGAGTGCTGGGCGGGTACATCTTTGAGCCCGCGCTCCGCCAGTACAACATGGAGTACTATGAGAAGAGAGTCGAGGCAAAAGACGCGGAGAGCGTCGGACACATGAAGTACTACTTCAGACCCTTTGCTAAGACCGTCATTTGCCGAGGAATTATTTTTGTTTTCCGCCAGAAGGTTTTTCCCAAGCCATCCAAAAATAATACTGGACCACAACAGTGTTAAAAAAGCAAGACAGGGACTGAGTTGAAGCCACCCCCGCTGCCAGATGCGGCCGAGCAATGCTGCGAGGTGCAAGCTGTTGGCGGGGTGGGGTCAGCGGGAGTCAGGGGTGTTGCTTTCGTAAGCTAACATGGACACACCCTTCAGAGCCAAATCAAAAGTTAGTGCCATTGTTTGACGGAATGAAAGTAGAATTCCGGAAACAGCATGTGACAGGCCAGCCTCCAATGGATAGCTTTAGTAAGAAGTGTGGACGTGGTTTTTGTCCTTGACTGATTGTTTGTTTGTGAGTGAGGCGCATCAGTTCTTGTCAACTTTAAGCGTTCCTTCAGCCACTCGCCAGGTTGATGATGGACACAGCCCTGGTGGAGCCAGCCAACAGCCGACCAGCATGGGTCTCCAGCGTGAAAATGTGCCGAACACCACTTTCTACAGCCGAAATCACCCTGAACCCTTTAGGTCCCTTTGTTCGATGAGGAGTTCTGATATTGTTATGTCCAGTCACGTGCAGCAGCTGACTAGCGGAGGTTGTTTTTCCAAACCAAAATACCTCACCGGCTCGGCTGAGTGCGGAGCATATTAGACATGTATACTCTCTTCTTGCCTAGTATACATGGAAAAAAGAGGTCTGAGCACAGCAAAGGAGGGAGCAAGGATGTTGCAAAGCAAATCAGGAGCTTTGAAACTGCAGGCCATCGCTAGTAGGTTGGAGGCCATCACTAATAGGTTCCTTTTGCTATTAAAAGGTTGGAGGCCATCTCTACTAGGGTGGAGGCCATCGCTAGTAGGTTCCTTTTGCTACTAGGTTGGAGGCCATTGCTTTGAAACTGGCTGTGTCTGACATTTCCCCTCCTTGCTGACATTCTTGCGACCTTCAGGTCTCGCCAATGTCAGGCGGACGGGAGGCGCCACCGATCATGTGGGTATGTCATGTTGCTGGCGGGAAAATCATTAGTGGTACTTGTACCATGATTTGACCTGCCAGCACAACATATATATCTGATTGTATGGGGCTACATAACAGTTAACAGGAGTTGAAGATGACTCTGCGTGTTTGTTCGAGCCGTTTGTATCCTTCAGGTTGTGATTGGGGTAGGAGGTGATATGAGAACATCAACCATGTGATCTTATTGACTCCCTCGGTGCTGTTGGCAACTCCCAGACATCTTCAAAAGACTTGGACAGTTTATCACGTTTCTGAATCGTTTGTTCCACAAATATCACTGACATGTTGTCGAAGTATATAAGTGCTCAGGGTCTTGCCTTTGACTGCAATGCTAGGACTCCCCCCATGTGGCTCCAGCCCGCAGGCGCCAGGTGGGGGAACTCACGACATTGCTTGACATGGTTTCACCAAAGCTTTAGAATCATATAACATATAACATCATATAACAAATTGTGTGCGCGATTCTGCATCTAAGAAGCTATTGGCTCATGGATATGCGCGATTCTGCATCTAAGAAGCTATTGGCTCATGGATACATACCCAGTCAGTGGATAACCTTTAACTTTTTTGGAACGATTTCCCCACTAAACAAGAATGAGTAGAAAAAGGTTATAATTTTTTTACCAGGGAAACTGAAGGAGTCAGGATACGGTCTGGCACAGGCCATCTCTCGGCTTTTGGGAGGCTTCAAGCCCAGTGCGTTTAAGCGCATGCCGCCATCAGCTGAACGCTGGAGGCGAGGAAACTTAGGGGGACGCAAGGTGGGTTGTGGCCTTAGGAACCAATGAGCCTTTGGTTTTGGTCTCGTTTCTTTTGACGTTTGAAGAGTCTAGAGTCTACAACCCTCTGATCAAGAGTAACTCCATTACCTCAAATTGTAGGGGGAAGCATGGATTGGTCTTTGTAGATGGAAACACATAGAAAAGGGCAGAGTCGGTGTGTGACTGAAATGATAAGGTTCCACGACGAGTGGTAATTTTTTTTGCTTGTGCCACGTTGAGATTGACCTGGACGACAGGGTATTGTAGACAGAAATTTCAGTGTGGAGGGAGGGGTAAACCTGCTGCTTCTAGTGACGATGTCACGATGTCCTAAGTTCGCTCGGAGTGCTTCAGACCAATCTGCTGTACTCCTGCGTGGCATGTGCTGAGCAGTTAGTCCATTTGTGCAGAGAGAGAGAGAGAGAGCAAGGCCGAAACACAAAAGCGCTGCATAGACGCACTGTTTGCTTAGCTGGTGCGGAGTACCTGTTTTCAAAGTGTAAGCTGCTCAGAGAGCTGAACTCGGAGGGACTGCGGTGAATCTTGAAGCTCAACGATCAGTGTGGAAAGTCCAGATTTACTTTGCGTGACTGCCAATCAGCGAGCCAACAAACAGAGGCTGTTGAATGATTTTTGCATCATGCTGACCACTTCTGCGCATATCATAGGCGCCAGATGGCAACAGGGTCCGAGACCCAAGAAGCAGTGTTCGGAATTGACTTATTGAATGTCAACGTCCACTGATGCTAGCTTTCCGAAGCAAACGCTTTGTGATATACATATATTCTGATTCCCTCCTTTCATGACATCAGTTGTGCGTTTGGATCCGTCGTTGAGCAGCAGGGTGGGTCTTTGGTCTTTTCATGTAATAAAGGTCTTTTACAGGGACTATGGCCAGAGCATTGGGCCACGCACATCGTAGCTCGAGCATGACGAATCGCCCTGAAGGTAGTGGGGCGGGAGCGTCAAATAGAACTGGCTGACCAAAATCGATAATGGGTTTCCACCGCAGTCGCATGTACAGAGTTGGACGTTCGGCTTGAAAGCTGCAAGGCCTAGGTTCAATCAAGCTTCCTGCTATTTTCGAAAAGCTATGCATTTTTCATGGTGGGCAAGGGTCCACAAATGTTCTTATGGAAATGAGGAATCACATGTAGCCGGAATACCTCAAGAACTGCGAGCCGCTCACTTTATCAACCAAAGTTTTCTTACACACTTCCAGTGCTTTACGAAGCTTTTAAAGCGACAAGTTATCGCAATTTCTTAGTCAAGACAAGAGGGATGATGTACAGCAGAGCTCCCAAGCAGCTCTATGGTTTTAACGCTTCCTAGATGATCAATCCAACAGATATATATATATATATATTGTTATCTACTGTATTTATATATGATATACATACAAGCGATTGTCATTCGGCACCAGGCTTCCTCCCAAAAATGCCCTGATCGAAATCGAGACACAAACTACCTAAGATTTCTACTGTATCCAGATGGCATTTTGCAAAGGTGGGACTCCAACAATCACCCAACAACTTAAACTTCCATAAGCTATCCACTTTGGACCATGCTAGTCAATGAGTATTGACCGTTAGCATACTCCGTGGCACAACCTGTTCACAAGGGGGGACAATTGTCTTGGTGCTGTAGGGTTTGAAATTTGATTTTGGACGCTACTAGGGGCTCCTGGCCTCACCACTAGGAGCAAAGGACGCTACTAGGGGCTTTGAGTTTTTCCGTCTGGATTCTTTCAGATTCCTATCGCTACTCCAGAAGCCCACCGCCCTGAGGACACCCGGCCTCACAACGTCCGCCGCCCACGGAGGCCATGTTAGAGTTTTGCAAACGGACGATGGCCTCCAACCTAGAACGACTACAGCTAGAAGGTAAAGAAGAGGTGTAGTTGCAGGATGTGGGATACTGCCTATGTCTTTTGCCAGTAAGGAGCGGATGTGTGTCGTTTCTTGTGAACAGGGTCCTTTTGGTGTTCCGATGCCGTGGGCTGGCAGCAGTAGCTACCTATGCAAACGTGGCCCGCTGCTATCCCAAACCTAGCTTTCGTTGCAGTATAGGTGACCAGAGTTGTAACCCAGGCAATCGACCATTTAGATGATGATGTAATATTTGCAACAATTACATACAATTCATCGGACAACTTGGAATGACTCATTGTGATCCAATCTCTTTCTTTCTGAGTTCTACTTTATTCTGCTTGGCACCACATCTTCTGACCTCATCCCTTCCTCCAAGTCAAACCTGGATCAGGGCGGAAGCCAACTGGTGCCTGGCGCTGAGGTAGGAAACAAGGAACACTGAGGAACCCTCATAGCAGGTTGGAAGACCTGCTATGTGAGAGTCTACATACAAATTCAATTTTTGGAGGATTGCCAAATCTGCTGGGTCGTCCAGTGACCTGCCCAAAAAAGGCCGAAAAAGTCACGTCATCCTCCTACTCAAATTTAAACAAATCTCTCTCTCTCTCTCTCTCTTTGTATGTCTATATATTAGTGTGACATTTGTCGGCTCCTATGCTTGTAGAATCAATGTTTTGAACATCCATTTTTCTTCATGTCCACATCTACGTCCCCTTCATGCAGATACCACCGGATGCAGAAATCTGAGGTCAAGCAGCTGCCGAGCTCGAATGGACTCAGCCCGATTCCTGATTGGATGGAAGATCAACAGGGATGGCCAATGTGATAGCATGAAGACCCAGACACAGTAGATTCTGCTGGTTGTTTCACCTCCACCGGAAAATGTGTGAAGTTCCAAGCTGCTGCTCTCGCCATGGATGGCAACCCATCAACAGTCCCAAGGACCACTGACATTCCATTGTCCTTATTTGATCCACCGAATGTGTCGGAGGTACCAGGATTGGTGGGCGTATGATTGCATTTTGGATGTTTGAGTTGTTTGACAGCCTTTTCAGGTATCAGCCAGTTGGAAGCTGCAGCAATTGAAATTCCCACCTACCCTGCCAGTGGGAGTGAGTGGCTGGTGATACAGAAGACAGAACACGGTAAACATCTTATACATGCATCACCCCAGCGCATCCCCCGGGTGGTTTCAACTGAACCACGTATGCCTGCTGCAGGCATACCCCTCACTTAGTGTTGCCCAAAAGCCTTGCAGAGGTTTGCACCGCCCCACCCACAATAGGCTGACTGGTGCAGGGTGTAATCCTTGCAGGATTCAGGTGAGTCACGTGAACAGTTAAGTAGTATATAACTCAAGTCAGTGGATTTGGCCACCTGCCTCCCTCATCTCTGAGGTCATGACCTTTGGGGGGTGCCGGCCTTGGCTGTGAGATGTGCTTTCGTGGGGGATGGTTGAAGCATTGGAGATCTCTTGTGAACTCGGAAATAAAATAGTCCACAGACTTCTTGCAAATACATCCCTTGCAACACATGCTCCGTTTATTTGTCTTTGCTTCTTTGAGCTTCTAATTGCTTGGCTGTCTTTGATAATGGGTTTGTATCCGAGCAGAGTTGTCGCGGCAAATCCACTATGGAGATGTTTTCGGTTTCAACCCAAGATGGCCGTGCTTGTTTGGCAAGGCCTGGGATTGCTTCAATTTAATAAAGGATAAGAGATGAGATTGGATGTGATGGCGCTTTGCGGAGGAAACTCTCCGGGTGGTTTCAATGATCGAGAAGGTCCATAGTGTGTGTGTGTGTGTTTTATTTGTTCAGAAGGTCTCGAGTCTTGAACAATCTGGCTGAGAGCCACGCGATCATAAAACCAATAAACAGTTAATTACTGTAAACTCTTTTTGGCGCTTCAGTTGTAGTGCTTGCCTTGGATTCCATGTCAGTTTCAGTTGTCTTGGATAACATTTTCCAGCCTTTCTGAGGTCCTTACCCCTGCCACCCGTGGGCTCACTGGTTCCCAGCCGCGAGGTCCGGCCAGTCCACGGTGGGGGTGGTTGGATTGGTAGGATGGCGGAGAGGGCTGTCCTGTGTGCTTGATGACTGGGGCATAAGTAGGGAGCCACTCAAAGAGTTGTAGGTTTTCACTTGACAACAGACAACCTGCCTCATAATTAGTTATAGTTTCTCTCCTTCTGCTTATTGAAGTCCTGATGTAGGAACAGCGTTTGGATTGGAATGCAATGCAGGAGGTGATTGGCGGATTTGTTTCTCGAGATTGGGTCTGTTTTGTATTGAATTGGGTCAAGCTTGACAAAGAATATGCCTGAGAAAGGCGCAAGCGTGATCAGTAGTGTTGATCAGCCTAGCTTTGTGATTCAAATCCTTCTCTCTCCATGGAGTAGCGACGCGCTACCTTTCTACCTACCTGTTCATCTCAACTCCCCGTGTGTCCGCATGTGAGGTGCACTTGTACTGCATGCGTTTTTGAAGATCCCGTATATCTGTTTTCCCGCTCTGAGGACCAGCCAATTGGAGGCCTGGAAAACAGGGACCAGCAGAACTCGATTGACCGGCTTTCTTAACTCAAGCAATATCCTCAGACCGACCAGTAAATGGTCATTGGCAAGTTTTTGGATGTTAGATGATGTTAGTGGAAACAATGGGAACTGGTTCACCCATATGAATTGCATGGGAGTTGGCAGTTGGTTCCCATTGAACTGTGTTGGGGTTCGAGGCAAGACAAATCAAGACAATATCAGTCATCTACCAATTCAGTGTCATTGCAAGGTGCTTCAGGAAGCAACTCTTGCCAGAACTCTTGATATCCTTTGATGAGATGTGTTTTAAGAAACCATGCCATGTATTCATCAGAGTTCCCCAAAGAATGATAGGACCCTGTATTATCCGAATTCTTGGATGCCAAGACAAGCACCATGTCGCTGCGGCCTCTTTGTATTCTGTGGGAAGCTTGAACACCTAGCGTTGGCAAAGAATCTGTGTAAGCTGCAAGCTATACATGAATTTCTTCAATCGAGCCCTGCTTGAAGAGAGCAATTGAAACTTTAGAAGTGTGAGCTGAATCATCAACCACCTATGTACAGGGACACTTAGACTTACGCTTACTGTTGGCCTGCATCATCTTCACTAGGGGTCTCCGACATAGTTCTTCACATCCTATGCTGCTTGCGGCGCAAGCCCCAAGGTATTATTGCAGTTGGCGCCTTTGATCATCCACTGGGTAGTTGTTTGTTGCCTAGTTTGCATGTTTTGAGCCTACGAGACGGTGTATCCCATGGAACCATATTGAAACTTTTTGACACAGACGGACATCAATGCTGCCAAATCTTGGATTCCTCGTCAGACACCCCATCCTTCCCAGTTGCTTCGACTAGGAGCATCTATATATATTTGTATATCGGTTCACTAGCCTGTCAGGTGACTCCCTGCTGCCGGAGGAGGAGTCTGAAGACCGACTCAACTTGCCCCCGGAGGGGTCTATCTCGCCACAGAACCTGCCGCCGGAGGGGTCGATTCAACTACAGAACTTCCAGGCATCTACATTTCCACCAGACGACAGACCCACAGGCAGCTTTCGAGAAGGCTCACACACACCACCAAAAGGCATCCTCTTTCCGCCACAAGGCTCCATAACAGCTCAAAGCTTTCCACCGCAGGGCTCAGTTGGGCCACAGAACTTTCCA